AGTCCCCTAGTGAGGGAAATGAAAAGATCTTACTTTTTTTTTTGTTTGTTTACATTTTTTTTACATTCACAATCTCTCTGCTGGTTGGTACATGCTCATATATTTAAATGGTTCTGTGACCTCATTGATGAGTGTGTTCCCTAAGTATTGTAGCTCCCAGCCCATCAGGACCTATTCTTCTTATGGACCTCTTGGGCCATGTTCTCCCCTAATTTTCCTGTAGAATTTGGTAGGAATGGGACATCCTTGCCTTCTTTGGGCATCACAAGGATGCCAGTGGATCGTGTACCATGTAGATGAGCTCTTGAGGATGTCCATCCAGCTGATGCCATCATCTGGAGAAGAGACATTCTTCACTTACTTGATTAATTTCCTCTGTGGATGTTTGGGGTGGTTACAAGTGTCTTCCAAGAGGCTCTGAAGTGTTCTAGGGCTTGATCCAAACAAGAAGCTTCTGTCTTCTGCAGAGAGGAATGTTTGTAGGTCTACACCATCCTTAGTGAATGCCTTTTCAGGGGAGACTCTCTATTGGATCCCTCTGAGACCAGGGCAGATATCTTCAATGAATATTTGTCTCCCTGTTTTAGGGCTTGCCTGTTATTTGTGATCAGAGGGTCACCAGCCAAGTTCTTGACCACTATCTCCTCTCAGACCCTGATGGAGATAGCCTAGGAGCCTGAGCCCCAGACCCTTTGAAATTGTAATGCGTCCAGCCTGGTGTCAGCAGCCATCATGCCAGGTAGTGATCCTTGGAGAAATCTCGCCTGGCACCTGTTCCTGCAGGTCCTATAGCCGCTTCATTTATAGACCCTCCTTCCCACCTCCAGCAGGGAAAAAAAAAAGCTCTTATCCACAAAGTCCTTGGCTCCCTATCAGAAATGGGTATGATCTTGTTATGGAAATGACATTAAAAATGCGTTGCCATCTCCTATGCCACTGCAGCCTAAAGACATGGGACTTTTCCATCTGACTTGCCAGTCAAACTTTCAATATATGTTGTCTCTTTCAGTGGAATGGGAGTCCATTAAGATCAGGCACTATCTTACTGTTTATCTGTTTCCCCAGAGCCTAGTACAAAGCTGTGTACCTAGTAAGTGCTTCATAGGGGCTTTCTTTAGTCATTCCTTCTTCATTCTCCATTGTTTCATATTTAAGGGAATTGAATAATTTGGATGCATGGGTGGGAGACACCTTTTGGGACTAGAGCCTTTGAGGTGGCATTTTGTTCTAGGAAACTGAATGCTTTTTATAGTCAAGAAACCATCATCACAGTGAAATCTTGTCTTCTCCACATCTTTCAGACAGTTGTCTCATGGTTAAGAATCAGTCTGCTATCCCCTCTAAAAGCTGCATCCTTCCCTGTTAATACCTTCATGGAGAATGCCCTTGATGCATGTGTTTGTGATTTTCACTAAAGTTTTGTGTCTTTGGGAAAGTAGGCACATAGGTAGATAGTTGTTGATGTCCTTTTAGTCACCTTCTTTCAGTATCAATCATTTCCAAGACGTTTTTGCCCCCATGCATGGCAATCTTCCTTTCCTTGAGATACCTTGGTATCAGCTGGTCCCTCAGTTCCCCTCTGAGTTGTGTCTCCAGTTATTAGTGATTAGGAACATTTTTATATGAATACAAATAATTTGTGCCCATTGGTATCTTTGATCATTTGTTAGGGGAATGGCTTTCTTTCCTGTGTATTTCAGTCAGCCATGTATATAACTTTGATATCAGATCTTTATCCAAGAACCTTGCTGTAAAGATTTCCAGGCTTTTTGATGTGTTGCTGTATCTTCTTTGCTAATGTTTTATTTACAGTTTTTGCAAGTTGGTATTCCTTATGGATCCTGGGATACAGTTTTCTTTCTCTAATTGGACCTCTCTCTACTATAGGTATCAAGACCTGTGTCACAGAAGGGATTCGGTAGAGTCCCTTCTCCCATTTTTGCAACCACGTTATTCTTTTAATGTTTGATGGGAATCACTTATAAATCCAGGTGATTGTGGAATTTATTTTTCATTAAGAGTTCATTTATAGTTTGTTCAATTTCTTTTTCAAAGATTGGGGTATGGAAATTCTTCATTTAATCATATGTTAATCTGCATATTTTAGATATATGTCACTATTAATCTGTTTCAATTAAGTTGTCAATTTCCTTTGCATAATTTCCTATCATTTCCTTTATTTGGTCCTCATTTATTCCCATTTCTCCTTTTTTCGTTTTTGGTACTGCCCATTTGGCATTTTTCTCTTTTATTTTAATCAGATTAAGTACTGACCTATCTCTTTGATCATTTTTTCGCCTGAGCACCTAGCTCCTAGTCTTATGTATTTATCAATTTATGGCAGGGGAGGGGTTGTTTTCAGTTGTGTTATTCTCTCCTTTGATTTTCAGCCTTTTGCTCCCAACCCTTATTTTAACTCTGAGTGAATCTGTTTAAGTGTGTTTCTTAAAGGAGGACCTTCAGATCCTCCTTTCTAGGCCATTCAGCTACCTTCCTCTATTTCCTAGGTGGTTCATCCCATTCTAATTCAGTGGAATGATTGTTTATTGTACCTTTCCCTTTGTCCTCTCCTTTTATACCTGTTGCTTTCTTTGATCCCACCTTCCTCTTTGAGAGAAAGTGGGGGGGGTGTGCTCATCAATAGTGAGCTACATTATAGGTGCCATCTGCTTCTGTTCTGTTCCTCCTCCTCTTGTCTTCCCCTCAGCCAATCCTTGGGCATAGGCTCTTACCATTTCTCTCTTTGCTTTGTTCTCTGCTTTGTGATCCTCCCTTCAAAGTCAGAGTTTGTTTTGCCTCTGACCAATGTCTCCCTGACCCTACTCTGCCTCTTGATCCACCTCTCCCCTGTCTCAGTTCCAACCTGATTCCTTGTTGAGTTTAATGTATTTTTGTACCAAACTCTGTGTGTGTGTGTGTGTGTGTGTGTGTGTCTCTGTGTATTTGGAAATGCTTTATTTGGCATTCAAAGCCCGTCATCATCTAGCCCTGTCCTACCTTTCTACTCTTCTTACCCATCATTCCCTGACATGTTCTCTGCTGCCCAGTGACCCTGGCCTCCTGGCTGTCCCATCAACAAGACCCTCCACCTCCCGACTTGGGCATTTTCTCTGGCTGTTTCCCATGCCTGAAATGCTCTCCTTCCTCCACTCCCACTGTTTACCTCCTTTGCTTCCCTCACTTCCCATCTAAAATCTCACTTTGTACAGGAAGCCTTCCCCAACCCGTCTTAATTCTAGGGCTTTCCTTCTCTTCCTCTTTTCCTATTGATCCTGTATAGAGCCTGCTTTTCATGTATTTGTTTGCATGCTGTCTCCCTCATCAGACTGTGAGCTCCTTGAAGGCAGGAGCTGTCTTCTGCCTTTTTTTGTATCCCCAGCACTTAGTACAGTGCGTGGCACATAGGAGGCGCTTAATGCATGTTTATTGACTTGAATGGAATTGACCTGAGTTCCAGTTTGGTCTCAGGCATTTACTAGCCAGGTGATGCTGGCCAAGTCACTTAGCTTTTGTCTGCCTCAGATTCCTTCTCTGTAAAATGGGGGTAAGTAATCACACCTACCTCCTGTGGTTGTTGTGAGGACCAAATGAGAATATTTGTAAAGCACTTACAAACCTTAGTGTTCTATAAATGCTATTGTCTGTGTGCTTGTCTGTTATTTTGTCTATTCTGTCTATTACGATTTTGATGATGATGATGATGATCTGTAGTCTGTGCCCCTAGTTCCCTGGAATGCCACTGGTCTCTTATTAAAGCAACTGAGGGGTCAGGTTTCAGGGAGGCCTTCAGGTGGGTTCATCCCAGAATTCTGTCTTTCTTCCTGAGCTGATTCAGTTTGTTGAGAGGTGGCATAGCAAGGGTCAGAGGGAATCCCACAATTTAGAAAGAATGATAAAATCGATCATTTTGGTCACGCGAATTTGAAGAGTTGTTGCACACGCAGAATCAGCGCAGTGAGCATAAGGGAAGCAGTCAGCTAGATGAAAACTTTCTATCAAATCTCTTAATTAGTGTCTGCTATCCAAAACATAGGCAACTAACAAAAATATAGAGGACCAAAAACCATGCCCCAGTAGAGAAGTGGTCACAGAGTATGATCTAACAGTTGTCCAAAGGACTGTGTGCTATTCACAGCCATATGCCTCAAGTCACTCTTAATAAGAGAAATGCCAATGGAAGCAAAGCTGAAATTTCTCTTCCTACTCAGCAAACTGGGTGCCAAAAGATGGGCAGAGTTACTTTTGGAAGGTTTGTGGAAAGACAAGCCCAGTCCCAGCACTGTTGGTGGATCTGTGAATCCATCCACCCATTCTGGAAAGCCATTTGGAATTATGTGATAAAAGGGACTCAAATAGCCCTCCTGCCCTTGGACTCGGAGATTACACTGCTAGGCATAGACCTGAAGCAGGTCAGTGCTCAGAAGCAAGGCCCCATGTCCACCAAAATACTCACAGCAGCACTTTTTAGAGTTACAAAGACTTGAAAACCAAGACGATGCCGGTCATGGCATATTTCACCAAGGGATCATATGTGACAGGAATGGAATTTCACTGTGTTGCATCAAATGAATTCAGAGACTTTTGGCAAGACTTATATGAACTGATGCAGAGTGAAGTCAGGAGAATCAGGAAAGCCATATAGAAAATGACTACAGCGATGTCAGTGGAAAGAACAACAGCAAAACAATGGAGCCTGGCTTCTGTTGGATGACAGTGCCCAGGCATGGCCCCAGAGAAGCTCCATGGGAAGGCGCCTTCCCCTCCCGTTCCTTACAGGGCTGCGTGACAGCTCAGGATGAAAACTTCATTGCCAGTTGCTGTCCTTCCAGGGATCAACCTCTCCACTCAAGGTTAGTCTGGTTCTCAGACAGAAGACCCACCAAGGTTTGTTCAGTGTCCAGTGCTATAAGAACAGCAGGAGGAGGAGGAGGAGTTGTGGTTGTGGTTGTGGTTGTGCTCATCCTTCTCTTAGTAGTCCTCGGTGCCATTGTTCTTTTATTTAAAATTAATTTATTTTGAATTATCAACAATCACTTCCATAAACTTCTGAGCTTCAGATTTTTCTCCCTCTCCCTCCCCAAGACGGTGCGCAATCTGATACAGGCTGTACATATACATTCCTATTAAACATATTTTCATGTTAGTGATGCTGTAAGTAAGAATTAGAGCCAATAGGAGGAACCACCAGAAAGAGGAAACAAAACTCAACAGAAGAAAAAAATAGCAAACAGTATGCTTTGATCTGCATACAAACTCCATAGTTCTTTCTTCTTTGTGGATAACATTTTCCATCATGGGGCCTTTGGAGATGTCTTAGATCTTTGTATTGCTGAGAAGAGTTAAGTCTATCAATATTAG